CTTAATATTTTTTTCATTATATTTATAATATATTTAAGTTAAAACATTTTATAGAAATAACATTATATAATAACACAAGAATTTCATCATAAAAAAATGCATCGATATGATATATCAATAGATAAATCTAGAAAAATATGGAATTTTTTATAAAATCATTATTTTATTAGAAAAAAATTACTGGAAAAAATTAATATAATAAAACTTTTAAATATTTTGCGAGGTAAAATATTCTAGAATATAAAAGTATAAAAATAAAATAGGGTAAAATAAAAAGAATGACATTAGGTGTTTTGTATATTTTAATATGCCGGGTGTTTACGATTGCGCAGCAAAGAATTCCTTTTAATTGTTAAATTTGTGTTAATTATGTGTGTAATTATTGCATATGATTTCATATTTCAAGTCTCCATAAACAATATAAATATCTAAAAAGATCTTTCTAGATAAATAAAATATTTTATACAGTATTTTCTCGAAAATGTTCGCAAATAATAGAATGTTCTGGATACTCCACCTATCGGTAGCCGGTCCTATAAATACGTGCGCCACGATCAGTAGTAGCAGTATACAGAAAACAGTCGAGAGAGAAGCTTGACAAGCTTAGTATAAACGTTAAAAGTGAACATTTCGAAGAAGTCTGTGACTTAATACATTATTTAATATATCAAACATCAAATAATTCAATTAAAATGTCTTTGATTCCATTGCTGTTCTCTGATTGGTGGGAAGACTTGGATCGTCCACACCGATTATTTGATCAAAACTTTGGTTTGGGATTGTATCCCGAACAATTATTGAATTCAAACATTCTTGATCAATACATCTTACCCAATCGTAATCAAAGATTAAGAAACCCATTGATATACTATAGACCTTGGGGTGAACTTTTGCGAAAAAATGAAGGAGGAGGCACATCAACCGTGAAAGCGGATAAAGATAAGTTCCAAGTAATTTTGGATGTTCAGCAATTTAAACCAGATGAAATTAATGTTAAAATCGTCGACAAGTGTGTTATCGTCGAGGGCAAACATGAAGAAAAACAAGATGAGCATGGTTGGATTTCAAGGCAATTTACCAGGAGATATATGATTCCTGAGCAATGCGATATTGATCAAGTAACATCTAGTTTATCATCGGATGGTGTATTGAACATCACTGCACCTAGGAAGGAGCAACCAAAGATCCAGAACGAAAGAAATATCACCATCGAGCAGACGGGTAAACCGGCATTGAAGGAGAACACGGAGGAGAAGAAAGAAGAGAAGAAAGAAGAGAAGAAAGAAGAAAATTAGAATCTGAAAAATATGTTGAATTATTGATAACATTGTGTTCCTGCTTCTTAATATTTCTTAAAGTTTATTTTGTCATTTATTTAATTCGATTTTTGTAATATAGATTAAAATTTTTTTAAAATAAATATTCGATAAAATATAATCTTGAGTTTTTTAATATTCTTTTTCCTTAAAATATCCTTCAGTTATTTCAATATATCGAATGTCTTCTTTAGATTATGCAATGTTAAATTTATGGATTCACATTTAAACATATTATTTTTAGAATAGTGCGCTATATATATATATATATAATTGAAGAGAATCCACTTTTAAGATAATAAAAGTTAAATAATAATCAAAAATTGAAACTGATAACTATCTAAAAAATAAATATTACTTCTTGTTCATAATATATTAAAAATTTCTCAAAATCATTTTAATAAATAATTTATAAAATATAATTTTTTTCTTTATATATATATATATATTTGGAACATTACAAATTTATATCATAAAAGTAGATTTGTAAAAGATTATATGTATATTTGCAATTCTTATTAAAAATTTTAAACAATGTAACTCAAAGATGTAATGTATGTAATATTAATTTATAATTTATTATTTATTGCTAACCCACCATTTTGTTTTTTCAATACACGATTTTATGTACAATTAACGTAAAACTAACTCAAGCTTAAGTATTTTATCTCAGAGTATTATATATAATATTTAAAATTACAAATATAAATAAAATCTCTAATTATAGTGGCTATCAAAATTTAAATTATATTACATTAAATTTAATATTTTTTGTTAAATGAACAAACAAAAATATAACACCTCATACGATTTTTGAAAATGACACAAAACATGAAAGAATTTAATACTGCAAACATATCCTATTTAGTATTTCATTCGTTGTAAGAGTTTTTATCTAAATGCTTCTAATAAAACAGTATAATTACGGATTATCTTGAATTGACAAAAAACTTTCATTTTATATTAATTATTATAACATATTTTTCCAATGTACAATACTTAATTATTGTCAATAAGAAAAATTGAATTTTTGAATCGACGTTAAACATTTATGTCGCAAGCACCATGAAGTATTACATATAATTTTTACTAATAAGACTTTTTACAATTATTTAGATTATATTTTTTATATAGAAAAATCGATGTTAAGGAAGCAATGCATAATTATTATTATTAACAATTCATTGACAAATATATGTTATATATAAACATCGGTTTTTCTTTTATAAAAACGCATAATTAATATCTCATAATTATTTTTTTTTGTATACTCTTATTGAATGGAAATTCGATAAACATATCTTATTTAAACATTTTTTCCGCTATAATCTTAAAATTTACAAAACATAAAATATATCGAAATTGTTAATATCAGCTGTCTTTCAATACTTCTTTCAAAATAGATCCTGTATTTCTGGCTGGAATAAAATCCGGGAATGTTGGTAAATTTACATTGGAAAGTAATGAAGTAGATTGCGTCGATGAAGTTGACTGTTGTCTACTATGTCCAGGTCGTGGTAATGGCTAGAAGAAAAATAATCATTAGACGACAAAGCTTTGAAAATAAATTAAAATAAAAATTAATTCTTGTTCTTACCGGTGTTTGAATTGGTAATGCGGGTAACTGTGGTTTAGGTTTCGATTCGTTCTCTAGAAACCTAATGAATGCTGCTGACAAGGATGCTTCTTGATTCTGAATAACATAATTTGTATATTTATACAATTATACAATTATATAATTATAATTATACTTTATATAAATGCTTATATAATATATATAATATATATAATATATATATAGAAAGAATGTTAATTTAATATTTCGTAATATTAAATTTAATTATAAAACTCTCGAATATATTATATAAAGAAGAATAATTTATTAGCTATATGTATTTACGTGGATTAATAATTTCGTAATTATTAAAATTAATTATAATATTAAAAAGAAAAATTAATTTACTTTATTAGGAACTGTAGATCCGCTATTTAAACGAGAAAACCAACTATTTTGCCCAATTGTGTTATTCAATCCTGCTTTATCCTTTTCCGTTTCGTTGAAATCTAAAATTGTGGAAAACACTCTAAGGACCGAAGATTTATCTGCTGCTGATGAAGACAAATAACCCAATAAAAGATTTTTAATGAGAGTTCTGAAAAAAATAATTGTTTGATTATATAATTAATGAAAATTATATAATTAACGATATTATATATAAAGTAATTGATAAATTTAAATATTAATTTGCGGATTATAATTATAATATATATACATATATAGTTATAACTATATATATATATATATAATTGATCATAACTAGTAATATTTATAAATATATGAAATAGACACTAACTTATCAACTTTTCCCTCTCCAATTTGTTTTGCCTCTTCTATTCTTTGATCTGCAGTGTTTACGAGATTCGTTAATCGGTCCACTATAAATACATGATAAATCATTATAAGAAACAGAGTGATAAAAACAAAATTATAGTAATATGTAAATATCAAAAAATAATTTTTACAATATTATCAATGAATAATAATATGTTTAAAAATGCAATTTCAGTAAAATTATTAACCATTTAAAAGAAAGTTTAGAATGTTGGATGTTTCATTTCTATACATGTGCATTCCAGCGTTGTAAAGTTGGCAGATTTGAAGGTTGAAAAGACGTGAGCGTAAGTATAACACAAGTACTGGTTGTCTGAATATCACACCAGTACCTGATGTAATACTCACACCCATGTCTTAGTTGCTCATGCTGCATTCTTCATTTATCATGCCATACTAGCAAACTATTGACGCATGCTACTAAAAGTAAGAAAGCTATATTAATAGTAATATATACTTTAGTATAATATGTTACAATACATTACATTACATTAAAATAGAACAACTATCCTAATATAATTTCATTGCAATTCTTTACAAATAAAATTATGTATTTTATCTTACAAATTAATATAGTTTGAAATGGCTGTATTATAATAAGCTTAAAATAGTTTTATGTATAGAATATAATATTAGCATAATCAAAGATATTAATGCTAAATTTGAAAGTTGATTTTTCAAAAAATCACTAATAAGAAAAGACAAAAGAATATACATGATAGCTAGCAAAATGGAATCTTTCAAATATATATTTTTCATCCTTGTAGGATAATGGTAACGGGTGGGAAACCCCACGAGGTAATATGAGCTTTTACAAATCACACACTCACAGTTACCGCATGAGATTACCCACTCCAACGCTACCAAATTTAATAAAGATCTGTTTATGTTACATATATGTAAATAATATTATTTCAATATACATACGATTTTGGATATTTAATAAAAAAATTTATTAATTAAAAATATATATGGTTCATCTATATCTCATTTATTACACATTTATAAATAGCATAATGCCATTAAAATAATTATAAAAATACATATATCATCATATATTATTGTGTTATTTTAGTCAACTTAATCTTTTTACACAATATTATTGCAAAAACTTGTGCTAGATAGTGATTAATTAAGAATTTACATATAATTTTTTATTAAAAGATTTAATTTATAATTATTAAATTATATATTACGTATATATTAACAATCTAATTGTGATAAATTGAAAAAAAATTAGCAATTATTAGATGTAAATGTATATAAAAAATTTTTACAATATAATATCAATATCAATATAAATTTTAACGATATGATATAATAAAAAAAATGTGACAGATTGAATGCAAAATATAATTGAATATAAATAAAAAATTGTCATACAACAAAATTCTTTACTTTCGTGCTGACTAGCAATACTTCGTATGTTAGTAGATAAGAATTTATATTTAGAAAAACAGAAGATAGTACCAGCACCAGTGGCAATGCATGAGCCAACGAAGATGTGATTTAGTGCGCTAAGGCGATCGTCCAGTTCGTAGCCGGATACCAGCAAGAATCCTGGGTTATTGTCAAAATCCCAGAATTACCAGCTGATATTTGACTACATCACCAGATTATTTATGTGTTTGCTTTTTGCAGATTAGTCACAGGTCACACTCAAACTGATGATAATAAAGTGGGATTTAACCATTTCACCATTTCAGTGCATAAATTGTAATTAGAAAGTGTGAATATTTCGTGTAAAAACAAGCTATTACGGTAATAAATTTGTTTTTTTTTTTCCTTCATAAATTTATCGCATGTGCTTTCCTAATTTTTACAAATAAAGAATTTTAAATGATTCAACATATTGATCCAATACACTTCCAATACACTGATTTTTATATTCATTAATATTTTGATGTTAATACTTCTCATAGCACATATGATCACTTATGATGCAAAATTTGTGCAGTTATTGTTTTATATATTAGTAAAAAATTAAAACATATACTACAAAAATATTTGCGATTTAATTTAAATATAATATATGCTTTTCTTTCAATTTAAATTATATGAGAATAATTCACTTACGAATTTAATATAATTATATGTTAAAATAAAAAATAAAATAATATATTTATAATATAATAAAATTACTATAAAGGATTAAAGCAAATTATTCTCAATAGGATAACTGAATTCAATACTGATGTTGATGTTACATAGCAGTTTATATTGCAAATTTTTATAATTAAATAATGTGAAGCTTCGACACTAAAGAATTAAAATCTTTAGAATATTCTAGCTTATTGTTACTTGCAATTTCATTTTGTAAATTGTATAAAAATCCCGGAATTACATTTATATCCACACCAAAGAAGTGCTTACACACATGTACATATTATTCACTTATTTTAAATTAATAGTTTTCGAAAATTATATTTGACATGTTTCAAAATTGTTACATTAAATATATATATATTGATTTTACATGAATTTGCAATATGATGTTCCTTGCGATCGTATGAAAATTATATGAGCTTGCTATCGATAAACAACGATCGAAGAAATTTTTAATTACAAAAAAAAAAAAAAAAAAATAAAAGATGAAGAAAGAAACAAAAAAAAAATACTAATCATGCGAAATGTTAAAAAAAAAAAAAAAAAAAAAAAACCA